AAGAAAATTATACAGGTAGGGCATTTGCAAATGACTGCATAAACAACACATTCATGGAAGCCTGCTGCATCACTGTCTGCTTGAAAGATCAATTCATATTTTAGGTAATCAGTGTAGCGGCTATATCAGTGTGTGCTCCTTCTGGAGTCATATCTTTTCAAGCTGAGATTGCTTTACTAAAAAAAAAAACATGGAGCTTGACTGGATTTACATAAACTGAAAAATTACAAATGTGCAGCTATAGCAATTACATTAGGGAGATATATTTTGAAGACATTCTGCAGATATAAATGAAGACATAAATTGTTGAATTTGAAAGATCAAACTTATAGCGCCTACACTGCTTATAGCTGTAACCTTAGCTTGCCAGTGATTCGCTTACCTGCTTACCCACTATGGAATTGTATTTCATATTTATGATACTGAACACAGATTATAGGGATTTTTTATTGATGTTCTGAAAACATGGGCTTTTGCTGTGCTCTGTTGGTGACTGCCCATTCGCAATTCATGCCATATGTCAAACACTTGCCCTTTGCAAAAACAGAAAGACCCCCTGAAAAACACAGCCTCCACTCAGTCAGCTTTGGGAAGCAAGAATAAAGGAAAAAAGCATTCCCATAGGCCAGAGACAGGGAACAGAGCAGAAGTGTGGCAAGGTTCCTAGTCAAGGGGAGAATCATACGTGTGAAAACAAAAATACTCCATACTTCTGCCCTGACTGTTTATCACCCTCTCAACTGGGCATGAATCCCATGTCATGCAGGGAAGACACCTCAAGGAATTTTGCACACAAGTCCTTCAATACTGAATTAAGAAATATTGATCATATTTTTCTTCAATTCTTTCCTTTCCACTATCTCTTTTCTCACAAACGGGCCAGGAAAAAGGCTGGAACACCGAATAGCCCATGGAATGCAATACATTTCTCAAAATGGTGAGCAAACCCCTTCAGTCTCAGAGCTTGTGGAACGAGTTTTTAGAGGCTGTCCTGGGCATCCAGTTGTTTTAATTTTATAAATCTCCAGAAGACATTGATGGTCTATGGTCATTTTTCCCCCCCACTGTGCTGCCTCAGAAGTCTATGGAGATGTGCTTAGGAGGAGAGGACTCTCCAGCTTTACACAGCCATTAATCCCAACCAGAGCACTCCAGTTAATGAGAGACTGGCTCCTTGCCTACAAACAGATTCATCTTTCAGAGTCAGGAAAGGGAGACAAATTTACAGTGATTCTTTGAAAAGAGCACTAAAGATATTGGATTTTCACTCTTCCAGTCACATGAACATGTCTCTGCCTATAGAAATGGGGAAACAATTCATCTCTCAGTAAAGCAATACATTTCAGAAGCACAATGAAGATATTTTTAGTATCTAAGCAACTGGCCACTGTGGCGTCTTTTAAAATAAAAAATCCTTCTCTCCCTAACTGAAGCTTGCAGAATTAACCTGGAAATTTTCAGTCATGCTTCTCCCACTTGTTGGTCAGCTATGAAACCACTCACTTTTTGTTTGATTGCTTTTGCAGCTGACATGACTGAGACATTCTCTCCTCAGCTTGGTGGTTTTTAGAACCTTTTTAGGCAAAATTTTTTTCCACCAATGGCATTTGAAAAATGCTTTACTTTGGAAAACTCATCTAAGAGAAAATGTACCTTCTCCCTGAACCAAAGGAATACGTATTTCTCTATATACAGATTATTTAGTATAAGTTAATTAGTATCAGAAATGACAAGAGTTAGACTTCCATTGTGTGCCTAAATTGCCCATCTTTACTAGGTTTGTGATGATGTTACTTTGATTTTCAGGTGTGGAACTTTTTTTTTTTTTGGATACAAGTGAGTTTCTAAGGAGTGTATAATGAATATATAATTCAATGACAATTCAGTTTCACAGAGACAAGAGGTGGAAAATATTTGATGTAGGTGTCCAGGCTTTAACAGTGGAGGGTCTGCAGCACTGGCCTCTGTGAGAAGAGGCCAAGAGTTAACTTGTGGTGGACACAGATGATTCCAGGCACTTCCAGCTGGCTCCAACAGACCCAAGGCAGGACCTAGCTGAGTCCACCAGTCAAGCTCACATCATCTCTCAGCAAAGGTCACAATGCTGTGAATAGTGAGATTTAAAAATGCAAGAAATGACCCTGCAGACACCAAGGTGAGAAAAGGAGGAGATGGAAGAAGCTGTCCAGGCTCCAGAGCAGTGATTCCCCCTGTGGCCCATGGAGAGGATCACACTAGAGCACAAAGCCACATTGCAATAAATGCAGGACCTTATGCCAGAAGAGGTAGATATTTTCTGTCAGGAAGTGTAGCCTGTGGAGAGCTCCTCTTCCCAAAAATTATGCAAGCTGGGCTGTATCATGCTTGAAAAAGCCTCTTTCTCCACCAGCTGTAGAAGGAGTCTAAACAATAACTGTTAATACAGTGAAATACTATATTTATAGGACACATGGGATTGCTTGTAAACTTTACATTCGAACCCTGTCGCATTCTGGAATAACTGTGCCTTGCAGGCAGAAGGACATGATGGGCTCAGTTATGGCTCTTTTGTTTCTGCCCTCCTGGTGCTTGACTTCTGCTTCCATCCAAGACCCAGGGACCACTGAGTCATCAGAAAAATAGGCCATTTTTAGGGGTACTTTCTGCAACCCCAGTTGAAAAAAACCAGGAATGAATCCTGCAGTTAGAAAGCATGATACAATTAAGGTGCAACTTCCTTTCATACTGCTGCATTGCATTTTAACTGCTCAGAGCACCATTCACCAGGTTAGCAAGCTGCCCTCTTTTGTAGCACAGTACACCTGTGAGTCTACACTGCTCTTAAACACTTCATTGCTATTTAAGGGGAATTCAGCCTTGTCCTGTCAACAAGGCAGGTGGAGTGAGGTGATGAATGTTCCTACCATAATTTCTGTGAATATGTACCCTTGTGTCAGCAGAGCCTTCTCAGTTACAACAGAAAAATAAGTGCATATATTTTATACTATTTTCTTGGCCCAAGAATCCCTTCACATTATCACTGCACTGAAGTGTTTTGGGAAATAAATATCAGGAGGGGATTTTTTGAAACACAAGTTAAAAGTGACCTGAAATACTGCAATATGGAGCTTATTGTTCCCATCCTGTTCTTCAGCTGTATCACAGATGATCTTGAACTTTTGAGTTCTGAGCCGGGCCCCAGACTGAGGAGTGAGGATTTCACAAGGAAATCCTTTTGTGGTAATAATTTCCTGAAGCTGTTCTGTGCAGTGATTTGTTTCCCACTGTAGGTTTCCTTACTGAAAATTGGAGGTAAGCATTGAAAACTGGGTTGTAATGACTCATCCTTACTTTGTTCTTTTCAGATGGAATGTTTTTGGGGTTGGTGTGGATTTTTTTTTGTTGTTATTTTGTTTTGTTTTGTTTTTTTTTTTTGCAGGGGATTTTTGGTGTCATTTTTTTTAGTAGTAACATATCAATCCAGAGAAGGAAAAAAAATCCCATACCACTATTTCCTGCTTTCTTTATTGCAGTCTGTCAGCTCCTGGAAAAAAAAGGATCTGGTTTCTTGGTTTTTCCAACATCTGTGAACTCTCTGCTAACCTTCTCTTGAAAGTTCCAGACTGCTGAATTGGCTACCTTTCTCTGTGGGTGAAATCCAAAAGCTGTTTTCTGGCTAATTCATCCCTTCACAGCCCTGTGAAAGCAGAATGACACAGGTGGTTTTTGCCACAAACCCATTATTTAGAGACTTTCAGATGCTAATGCCACTGATTATACAAAGACATCTCTCCTTATATGCCTCTGAAACAAAGTTTACTTGTACAGCATTGAAGTGAAGAGGGAGAATTTGCTAGAAGAAAACAGAGTCCTTTCAGAAGAATTCTTTGTGAACATCAGTGGAGGAGAGAAAGATTATGCATTGAATGAAGATGGTAAATTAATTTTTCTTACAAGGAAAAATAAAGGACACACAAAATTAAAACCAGTATTGCTTAAAAGGCAAATCACAACACATATAGACCACAATAAATGAAAATTCACACTTCATCTCCTTAGAAACCACTATTAGGGCAAAACGTGGTAAATTACTCTATAGAAAATGTAGGGAAAAAAAGTACCCAGTGCAGAGCAGAACCATTCATTTCTTTGCATGATTGTTAACAGTTAATGCTCCCCCTTCAGTGTACAGAGATTTCAAAAGATTTTCTTTCTTTCTTTCTGCAGGGAAGGCTGAGATTGTTTGTGCATTAATGTTTAATAGTGAGTGCATTGCAGCTGTAAACAGAGGAGAGTACAAAGACAATGAGTGAGTTGTCCTGTCCTGCCACAGGATCCCTAAATGTCCTTGTGCAGCTCATGTCACTCAAGATGAAAGAACAGGGCAGTTCTGAAAGATTCAGACATAAATCAGAGCATGTGCAGGCTGAGGTGTCTTCTGAAGACACAGGTGAGAGCCCAGCACATCTCAGCTGAGATTCATGGTGCCATCATACACCAGACTGTTCTCAGGTCCCCAGAACCATCAACTCTGCTTTTCTCTCAGGATCACACCATTCCTCTGTCCAGAAGCACTTCCTTTTTAACTAAGATGAGAAATTCACAGCTTAACCTCATTGGATATCCTACCCTTCGTTCTGTGTCTCTTGGGAAGTATCTTAAGGAAGGTGATCAGCAGGCCAGCAAAAGTCACAGTAAAGATCTTCACATGATCATGAGTAAAGCTTTAGTCAGAGTGCACAGATAAGGTCTTACATACCCACTTATTTTGTTACAGATTATAATATTGTAAGTACTGCCTGTACATCTTGCAATAACAGGAGCTTCTTTTTCCATGCAGTTACTTCAAACCACTGTTCATGTATTCCTCTTCTGTTCAGCTTTGTGAGCCCTTGTCTTGTCTTGAAAAGACAGGTGTCTGCTAAGGAGGGCAGGAGCCTTTCTTGAAATGGAAAATGCAAACTCCCTCCCTCCAAATTATTGTTCTAATTTTGAAACTAAGGGGCTCTCAGACAAAGATATGGGAGCAAGAATAACAGTTCTTTATTAGGGAAAAAAAATAAAAATAAACAATGCAGTAATACAGAACAACAGCGACAGAGTCAGAATAGAACCTGACACCCTGTGAGTCAGGGTGTTGGTAGCAGTCCCATTAAATCATGGCTGCAGTGCTCCTGCAGTGACAAATGTGGTTCTGTTGCAGCAGTGATCCTCTAGAAGGGTGCAGTTTTCCTCTGAAGATCCAGTGGTGATGTAGATGGGTCTGGTCTTCCTCTGGAAATCCAGTGGAGAAGAAAACTGCTTCTCTGGGAGCAGGAGGGAGCTTGGAGCTGCATGACTTGAGGAGTCATGCAGCCACTGAGCACACCCAAAGAATATGTTTCATCTATAAGATGTGTGGAATTTCAAGCAGGCAAGCTGACTGCTTGGATGCCAGAATAATAAAGATGGTTTCAGGCCATTTCAGTCTGATCTAAATATCTGCCTCTTATGAGAGTTCTTTTAAGTCCAGAAACCAGACTTTGCCTTTCTTCTCCTTCATCTTTGAATACAGCCATCCTTTCAAAAGGCATAATGAGGAATGCATCTTGTTGATACTTTGCAGTTCTGGAAGACAGAAAAAAATGCTGTCGTCATCACTGCCATCATTGATAATTTTTATTTTTATTTAAAAATCCTTTATAGAATGAATTTTTCTCTTTACAGAAAACAGAAACAGAACAGGAAAATGGGCAAATGTTACAACCTGAAGCTGTCACGGCATCTGTCCTGGGAATTTTTAGTCTGCCAGCTTGTCACAATCCATCACACTGATTGCCGTGTCACCTTGCATCTTGAATGAGCTGTTGGCAAGAAAAAGCTAAACTTTCTTCCTAGGCTTTGCAACCCCTTTCCCTGCAACAGTGGCAGAGAGATTATGCCATTTATCTGGGCTTTCAGCAAGTGAGGAATGTCTTTACCTTGCCTTCAGACTGGAGACTCAGAAAACAGCGTTTATTTAAGCAGCAAAGATGTACAGCTGAGGCCTTGTTGTCTCTGCCATGTCATACATCAATTTCTGACTGCCGGTTTGTAAAGTGGCACATATTCCTTCTTTCCACTCTGCTCTTTCTCCTTACTCTGGGAGGAAAAGATCTGGCACGTGGGGTGTGGGAATCCAGGGCTTCCCTCTGGCTGCCCTGGCAGGTCTGGGACCCTGGCAGGGGTCAGGAACCCCCCTGGACAGAGCCCCCAGAGACACTGTCTGTGATCTCTGTCCATGGAAGAGTTTTCAATCTTACAGGATGAATTACAAGCTCTGAGTGTTTGACATAAGTAATAATTAAGTGTGACACGGGTGCAAAAGTAAAATTTTTGGTTTCTAGATGAGGGGTTCAAAGGGCACAAGATGGAGGAAGTTGGGTGTGTCTTGTCATTTTTCTCCTTCTTCATGCCCTCCATGTTTCACTGTGGTATTGGCATTTTTCTGTTGGTTTAGGCTGGGGACACACTGTCCAACGTAGGTGACAGATATTGGCACGTTATTGTAAATCCAGCACAGGTAGTTTCTGGTATTTAATGTTTGTAACATCCCACTGAGGGCAGAGCCCCACACGCTGCCCTGCAGGACAGAGCTGCGGCAGGGCAGCAGAACATGTTAGAGATAAACAGAATAAACAACCTTGAAACCAGCACAGACGAATTATGGCTTCTTCTTTGGCAGCGGGGCTGAAAGACAGAGACTTCCTACAATCTTGGAATCATCAATACCACAGGTTCCGACAGTGGGGCTGAAGAACCAGAGGGTGGTGGGCTTGATATGTTTGCCCTGCATGAGACAGAACTGGGAGCTAACATGTGGAGAGGGTAGGTAATGTGTGAGGCATGGCATGGCCATGATGAGGAAAGGAAAGACAGTGAGGGAGCCAGGAGTGCTGCTATCATTTATTGCTGCCATAATATGTGCTGCCATAATCCTTTTTGGTTAACTATTTGCCTTCACAACTAGCTTATTTTCCCTTGCTGGTGTGCTAGAAGACAACACACATTCCTTCCTCCCTACAGCTGTCTTTAAGAAAGAAAGAAAACTACCCTTCTTTTCTGCATATGGAAAAATTAATGTACTATAGGAAAGGCAGCTCTGCCATTGTCTCATAATATATAAAACCCATCAGTATTCAGAGCAATCACACCACACATGCACAGAACATATAGATGCACTAGATATTCCTTGTAACTGTTTTAATATTACAAGACCACAGGGAACCGAGCTTTGGAGTTAAACAGCATGGAGCAAATCAATAAAAATTTCAATGTGAATTGCATATCTAAAGGCTAGAAGGCTAACGCCTTGTGCCAAGAGCAGTGGCAGAGGATGGAAAATTACTTACTTTAATTAGTTTAAAAACAGAGGAAGATTATGAGGATTTCTGGATGATTCATAAATGTGATGCTTCTTTTAATCTAGTCATTACAGGATTGAAAAAAGAACTCCATAGGAATTTTCCTTTATGCTCTGAAATTGGTGACTTTTTTTTTTTTTTTTACAGCTGTTTCAACTGTCAAAGCAATCTCTGATTTACTGACCTGGAACTATCTTCTACCTTATCAAGAAGCAATGTCTGAGACTGATTGCTGTTGCTGATACAATTATTAACTGACAGCAGAAAAGCTGGTGAGAGAAAGGAGCCCTGCCTGTTTGGATTATATGGGCCCCATGTGCACACATATTTTCTTTCCAGATTATCCAGTGCATCTGGACCGGACACATCTCATACACTTGTACTTTCTCACCAGAAACTCCTCTCTCTTTACTCTTCTCCCTTCCCAGTCAGCCCATTTATTTTGGATATTAGGCAGCAATAAGCCAGAGAAGATATTCTAAGCCTCATTCAAAACAACTGAGCAGGTTCACCTGAAACTTTTTAAATCATTTAGCCTGAGCTACACACCTGGCATGGAAAAGTATCATCCTGGATGCTGAGTGTATAGAAAACTGCTAATTGTATCATGGGAAATATCCACCCCATAGCACATCCCCTGCTTCTCCAAAAGTGACAGAACCAGCCACTATGATTTGCTTTTTGGACAAGCTCACTGTAGCTCTTTTTCTTTGAAAAGCATGTTTTAACAAGTGGCATTTCTAATGACAGGACCGTCAATCTGGTTTTATACATTTGTTTCACTGAGATCTTCAGAAGAGGGTCTGCAGAGGGATTTCTCTGGGAAGCCAGTACCATATAAGAAGTGCCAGACAAATCAGACAAAGTTGTGGTTTTAGAACCTCATTATTGGTACGTTTGTGCATATTTGCACCACTGCTGAAAGAGGTTCAGTCAGATGGAGCAGGCACATTTGGGGGCAATAGAGATGTAAACGACATAGTAAATTTTGTCCCTAGTTTTAAGCTAAAATCTAGGTACCTTCTCTGTGTCACTAGGGAGTCAAGAAGAAATAAGATGGATCCTCTCAGATTCATAATACTTTGGAAGATCTGGAGGCTTGTAGTCTGTCCTCCTTCTTTTCCTTTGTGTTTTCTGCTACCTTTCCTTAGCTCAAGCCCTTTGGACCAGTTCTAGGTGTTGGCAGAGCATTCCTTTATCCTGACTGTATGTGAGATAAAGGAGACAATGTCCTATACAGAGGGAACTGCACAGCTGATTTTTCAGAATTGTTGGCAAATAAAGGTAAAATTAAAAGCTCTCTGCAGATCTGAAATCCTCGACAAGTCAGGACATCATCATCTGCCTGTCTGAAGCAAGTCTGGACGTCCTACCTTGCTGTGCTGCAAATGTATTTTCTTGTGTAGTAATTCTCACAACACAGCCTGATCGTTTCTAACAGAGCAGGAGTAATAGCCTGGAAAAAAACCCACAAACTGAAATTGAAAGGTACACATGCAGGTGAGAGCAGCATGTCTCAAGTGCTGGTCTCATTCTGACCTCTGAAACACTTTAAAAAAATGTTTGTTGCCCTTGTTTATTTTTTTTTTTTTTTAACTGGGATGTGCTATTTGGGCCCAAATTGCACTTCACTGACAATCCAAGACCAAGTCTCAGAAAGATAACAATTCACTTTCTTTCCACCTTTTTTTCTTTTCAGCAGCCAGGCTGAAGCAAAGTTATGCTTTTATCTATTTGTCCTTGCTAGCAGTGGTAACAGTCTGTTAATTGAAAGGCAGTTATCACTACCATAATAATTTCATCCTCTCAATTTTTAAAGAGGAGAGTGAAATCTTTGCTGATGGATGATGTAGCTCATGGTTTTACCAGCATGGCTTTACCACAGAGCAGAATCTGGTCATTAAACCTAAAGAAATTCGGGTTTGGACAACATAGCTAGACTAGACTCTACTGCCCTAGTCCCAGTCTCTCCTGCCCTCACCCCCTGGTGATTTTATTCTCCTTCTGGTGATTTTGTGAATAACTATTTTCCTCCCCCTGATTTGAACAAATTAATAAAAGAAAGAAAGGTACAAAGAAAAGGTAAAATCAATCGTAACAAGAGCTATCAATTATTTTGCAATTTTGGGAAGTAATGACTACACATCAAGCCCACAGCTCAAACTTCTTTGACATCCTCATCTGGAGTCAGCTGATATTTATCCCTTTTCTCATGGAAAATATCACCTGTGCTGAAAGATAGGAAGCTAGGAACTGCTGTAATAGCTCGCCAAATATGTGATTAGTAGCAGTTCTTTACCTTGACAACAGGAAGAGAAAGAAAAATCATCTGTGTGGGCAAGATAAACCTCTGCAAGCAGCAGTATGCTGAGGCATCAGCCTCTCCTTTCTCCCTCCTACTAGCAATGTGAAAGTCCAAACTGCAAACACCTTCTGCACAATGAATTACTAGGAAAATCTATGGCTTACTCAATCTTTGCACTTTATTTCACCTGCCATAATAAAATATTATAAGTAAAGTATTCAACATGTCAAAAATTGTGCTCAGGTATACTGTATTAAAATATATCATTTTATTTCCCTAGATTTTCACAAGCAACCCTCCAGACCACTAAATTAGGGAACCTGAAAGGATAATCTCAAACAGATGATCACTCACAGGTTTACATTATCAGCTGCTCACATGCTTAATTATACATTTCTTACTGCTTATCCAGCTTAAATGATCCCTGATGTGATAAAAAACACATAAAAGAAGGAGCCATCTATTTCTGCAAGAATTGGCTTCAAAACTGACATGTATGACTGTATGACACATGTACCACCTATTTTGAAAAGAAATTTTCAAAAAATGACACAGAACAAAGTGCTAAGGAAAAAGCATAATTTCAGAAATCCCTCATTGTTTAAGTAGCAACAAAACCAACAAACTAACAAAACAAAATCAGTGTCGTGGTTTGACACAGAAAAATAATTTTTCCGGAAGGAAGAGGTCAATTTGGACATTGACCAATTGAAGGTAGACATGCCTCTGAGAACACAGAACTGGAACCGGGCTGGCCCCCTGCAGATGGAAGGGTGGAGAAATCTGGGATGTCTCCATTCCCTCCCAGAGTCTCTCTCTCCCAAGGGAGAAAAAGAGACTCAGTGGTTTTATCAGCAGTTCACCGCGGGGAAGCAGAAGAGCAGGGGGGCCGCAAGGTGCCCAGCCACGCTGTGGGAGCT